TTATTTGTTAATGTATCATATTCTGAGTACAAAGTCAAAATATTTATGATAAAAAAATATTTTTAAAAATTATACTAATATTATAAATTTAACTTTAATAACATTGTATGATTGATGTACCTGCTTTTAGACAGTGAGATGAAGTTTTATTGTTGTTTTTTTTTAAGACTCAATTTATATTAAAGGTGATATGCCTAACGGCATTACTATATTTTTGTCCTGCTTAAATATAACTTAGTCGCTAAATTTATTTTTTTAAAGGAATTACTATTATGCTTGATTAAAAAACAATTTTTTTCTAAAAAAAATATTATATATATATATATTTATAGTTTTAAAAAAATTTAATTCATATCATGTGATTTTACATTTAAAGAAAATTAATTCTACACATTCCACTGACAATTTTACAATTTATCTCAAATATAATTTTAAAATTTTTCTTCCATTTATAGGTATACGTTCAATATAGAATATATTTCATATAAAAGAAAACAACGGCTAAACCCAAGGATCAAAATAAAAGAAAGAAAAAATTGATGTATTATTATAATACTGATTTGACTACCATGCATCTTTCTCACTAACATGCAAGAAACGTGCAAGTTAATTTCAGATAATCGATGTCCTTTGTGCTCAGAGTTCAACAATTTTAATCTATCAAACTATACATAATACATATTGGCTCTTTATAGAGTTTTTTTGTTTTCAGCTGCACACTGCATTAACTTTCGACATCACTGTATGATTTGATAAATTTAATTAATAAGGTAGACCTTTGAGTTTTAAATCACGTTTTTGCGAAAATCTGATATATAGTTGAGTTTCATCGAAAGAAATTAATGCTTTTATTTTAATCCATTTATCGTAGCATTTTAAAGAATATAATACAAAAATAAAGTTATAGTGATATACAGTGGTTTTGATAATTCCCTGACATTACCATGGCTCCACCAAAAGACAAAAGAACATTGTGATGACAATATCAGCACGATATGATGGGAGGACTAAGAAATTAATTAGATGGTGAAGACAGTAATTATAGTCATGATGGATGTCAATATAGGCGACGATATTGCACAATTTTAGGTTAATAATGCATTTTTTTTATTAAATATTTTTGAAAAGGTTAAAATAAATTTTAAAATTATTAACATACAAGGTAAAAATTTCGATTTTATATAAAATCAATAAATAATGACGAGTATAATAAAAATGTGTTTGGATGAGCATAATATTGTGATTTTTTTAATATAAATTAGGGATGGAATAATTTAAAGTTAAATGAAATTAATTTTAATTCATTGAAAATAATTAAAATATATATTTAAACTATATTTAGTAATAAATTTTACATCAAAATATATAATGTTAAAAATAGTTAATTATAAAAATAAAATAAATAAGTATTAATTTAAAAAAAATTATTTATATTGCTGATAAAATAAAATTAAAAATAAACGTAATTAAGCATTCACTTTGTAAGCATTTTTCTGCGCATTTATAGCTTGGAAATAACATTGGAACGTTGTGTAGTACAGAGTGGTTTATTGGCAATAAGCTACGCAGAAATTATTTCATACCAAGTAACGTTTTAGTATTCAGAAAATTTAATGGTATTTTTAATTGCAAACACAAAAAAACTTCCAATGCAAATATGGTCATTGATATTAAAACATAAGAGGATGTTAACAAGTATTCCAGAATTTGGAGCATTTATTATATTATGAAATGTCGTTATTTTAATTAATTTAGTAGAGTGATTAACAAGATCCTGGTCATGCAATTTGCAACCATAAAAGTTAGGTAACGAAATGGATGTTACGTAGAGGAAAATTGCATGGTGAAGGTACCTGCGAGATTGCTTGGTATTTTTCTAAGATATAGACGTGCTTATCCAACACATCCTTTTAAAATTCTGCTGTGGAGAAGATGACATGCGAATGAGTTATGAAAGAACAAGAACATAGTTGAAAATTTCAGTCTACCAACTTGAACCGAATAACGATATAAGCCTCAAGGATCTTATCTGTGAAAGCAGGTCCTTCTCTTTCACATGCATGCTATGATATGCACACATCAAAGCATAAGACTCGAAAGCAACCTCGCCGGCTGTATTAGAATTCACGAAGGTGGTTACTGCATCGTAAAACAAAAATACTATATACAAACACAAGTTGCATTTTCTCAATCTGTTTGAATAATTTAGTTTTAGTTACGTTCATCGACGGATATATACAAGAAAATGTCAGAGGGTAAAACAAAGATGAGCTATTCATTTCTTTACAGGATTCTGTCAATCAAATCATTTTTATTAGAAATATTGGGAACATTGTAATGTTATATTTTTAATAAAGATTTTCACTTACTTTTTAATTTAATATTTGCCTTTCTTTCTTTAAAATAAAAATAAATTTTTTACATGCATATAATTTTTATTCAAATTTTGAGGGGTGGCTGAAGCCCACTCTTATCCTTTCAAAGGGGATTACCTTTTCTATCGTCTGATTTTGCTAATTGTACTTTTTTTTTTTTCAATTTATTTTTTTATTGTGTTTTATTCTAAAAATTCAATTTTAGTAAATGTTTATAATTGTTTAAAATTTAATTTTCAAAATGTATAGATTTAAATTAAATCAATAAATAACAATTTAATGAAAACTTTAACAAAAACCACAAAAAAAAAAATTAAATGATCAATAAAAAAAATCACACGACTTATTTAACACGAGAATGATTCGTCAAACGCTTTCTTAAAAGATAATTTACATTTCGAATCTTGTGGCAGATATGTGATTTTTAAATTGAAAATTAACTGCTATTTTCAATCAAGGTCTATAAATTGAGCCGATTGTTTTATATTTTTATTTAAAATAAGAAATTATTTTTAAAAAATGTATTTATTTATTTTCAAATCTGAATATTTTTTAAATTGCAATCAAATTTTTATTTTGAGTAGTATTTAAAAATATAATTGTAACAATCTTTTAAATTTTTTTTTTTATAAATATAACTAAAAATACTCTTATTTTACAAAGAAAAAAGTTAAAAGAATAAATTGCTTTTTGTATACACTATTAAAAATCACATCTCTCGTCTCTCATGGAAGGAAATTAAAAACTGAAGTTTGAATTCCCTTTTACTCTAAATGTTCATTTTAAATAAAAAAAATAGAAACAGAAATTTTTGTTTTGGTCAAAGACAGAGAGTTAAATTGACTCATTATGTAGCAGCTTATCATTTGGGCTCAGTTGACTAAGACCTGACCTAAAAAATAATAGTGCTCTCTTTGACAGGCTATTTTTTTATATAGTTTTTTAATTCAAAAAATATGGAATTTTTTTGTAAAATTATAGAAATATGAAGCTCAAAATTATAAGAATATAGAGTGACGATTTTTTATGCAATACAAAAATTCAGAGATAAAAAAATAAAAAGTGATAAAGTTTTAAAAATTGTCAATGGGTGATTTTTAAAAATAATATTAAAAAATAAAAGTCACTAATGATAATTTTTTAAAAAATTAAATATTTAAAAATGTACATAAAAAATTGTCAGTCCAGTTTTTGACAAAAAGTCACCATTGGTGATTTTTAAAAAAATGTATTTTTATAATTTTACAAAAAATCTCATATTTTGAAATTTGAAAAAGAAAATCATATATAAAAAAATGTTCCCTCTTTGACAAAGATATTGAGTATGCTAAAGATGATTTAACAAACATTATATATATGCATTATTATTATTACTATAATTATAATAATTATTATAAATATTTTTATTGATATAAAATTGTGTTTATTAAACGAGATTACACAACCGTTTGTGAATATTTAAAGGAGAAACTTTTCAATTCCAATACATATTCTGATTAACATATTAATAATTTAACGGTTAATAGATAATTATTATTTTAGCTGATATGTCTATTTTCGATCAAACAGAACCTACAGTTTAATACATAAAATAATTATTGAAAGGGTTTAAATTCAAGGGATGACTTTGAGAGAGAGAGAAAGTAGAATATGAAACAAACACTGTTTTAGTATTCTATTTCTTGAAAAATAAATTGCCTACGCTGCATGATACTTGATTAATAGAATTTAAACTGTGTATTATATAATATAACTGATAATTTTTCTTTATCAAACTATTTGTCCCTAATAATCATGCATACTAATGCTGTATGAAATTTTTAGAGTTGTTTTATGTTTGTTTACTACAAATGAATTGATGAAAAATGAATGTGCAGCAAATTATTAATAGGAAGTGACTGCAGCGGCAAGAAAGACAAGTGTAGCTATGTTTTGAGGACAAGAACTTGGGTAGCAATGTTGAGGTAGAAATTTGAATGGTTTTAGAATGAATTGGTGGGTGGTCAAATTCCAAAGTTGTTGTTGGGTTGTATTTCTATGGAGCTGGAGGCTACAGGGATTCATATAAACCAAAGGCAACAATCTTTGTTTCAGTAAAGTTGAATTCCACTTCCTCTTTATCATCAGTGTGATTGTCTGGCAGTTGGGCCGGATCAGCTTGTGCTTTTGTAATCTTTGTCTTTTTTTATTTTTATATTTTCTTTATCATTTTTATTTGGGGCTTAAAAGGGTATAAGCCAAGCTGGGAAGAAAAGGGGGTAAGTTGGAACAGGTCACCCACACATCGTTCCACAATAATTTATTATCTCTCTTTGTTTTGGAAGCAATTTGACAGCTATTCCTAATTTCTTAACCCTTGCCCCCTCCTACCTACACCCTGGGATTTTTATCCCTTTTCTTTTAACATGCCACATTTTCTATTAAATAAATTTATTTTATTTTAATCTTTCTGATTTTAGTCCTCAATTTTTATCTAGTCATTAAAGTATTTAGATTATAAAATCAAAATACTTAAGTTATACAGATATAAACATTAAAATGATAAGAAATATATTGAAGTAAAAAAAAAAAGTGACTTAAAAAATAATTGAATAATATATAAGTGGTAGTTTTTGTTTGGTCCATAAAGGCAAAGGGGTAAGGTAAGCCGGCTCTTGACGGTAGAAAGGGCTTAAACAAAGGGGAACACAGATAACATAAGAAGCGCACTTGCAACAGGGGAAGCAGAGCACTGCAGCCTCATCATTTCAAGCCTAAACAAAGCAGAAAAATCAAAAAAGAGAAAGCAGAAAAGAAAAAGAGGAGGCAAAGAAAGTGAGAGAGAGGAAAATAAAGAGAGAAATTGAAGGAAGAAGAAAGAGGTTGTGTGAGAGAAAGGGGTTGGAAATGATGCAGACGGAGCAACAACAGAACAACCAGTTGGTAGTTCAGAATTCGGGAAGCCTCAGCTTCAGCAGCCATTTGTCCAAGGAAGATGAGGAGATGTCAAGGTCTGCTCTTTCAACCTTCAGAGCCAAGGAAGAAGAGATTGAGAGGAAGAAGATGGAGGTAAGAGAGAAGGTTCAGCTTCAGTTGGGTCGCGTTGAAGAAGAAACCAAGCGTCTTGCTACCATTCGTGAGGTAATTTCAGTTTCACTTAACTGGAAAAAGTTTAAAAAATATTAACTCTATTTCACTCGTCTCCATCTCTATTTTCCTTTCTCTGTTTTCATTTTTGTTTTTAAATTCCCTGTTTTGAAAAACTGAATTCACCGAGGAAAAGTACAATAAATTAATCAAGGGCTTGAAATAAAAAACGTATATGTGGTCTTTTAATGGGGTGAACTAGAATTTGTTAAGGCCTTGCATGAAAAAACAAAGTTCTTTTTTTTTTTTTGGCTTAAGGAAATTATGATCTGTTTTAATGCCGAAGTGTTATTTTTTAGGATTTTTACCAAAGCTGTGTTGGTTTTTTCATGGCAAGAAGGGCTTTTTCAGTTGTTATTGTACCATTTTCTATATAAATCGGCTTTTCTTGTTACTAGGGAGAATACCTGAGGTCTGCAGAACATCTAGACCACTTGGATATGTCCGATCTGTGGTTTTGTTCTCCAGACAAAGTGAATTTTCAGCCCCAAAACGTTATCCTTCTCTTTCCGTTGTGTTTTATGAGGAAAATAATTCAAAATTTGAACTTTCTTATTCCTCTGGACATGTTTTTGTCAGAAGACAGTGTGTGGCTATGAACCAAATAATTCATATTTTTCCTTTCTAGAATTTCTTTATCCCCTAAATTTTTGAATTTCTGTTGTTTGAAAACAGTGTACCAAATTTCAACTGCGTTTGTAATTTTTTAATATATATGTTTTCTATAAACAACTGACCATAAGGCTGAAAGGATACGGTGTGTTTGTCTTAAATGTTGTTACTTATACGGGATATTGATATGTAATTGAATACTCCCAAACTTTCTTGTATTTGAGGAATATCAGGAGCTAGAAGCCCTGGCAGATCCAATGAGGAAGGAAGTTGCACTTGTTAGAAAAAGGATTGATTCTGTAAACAAAGAATTAAAGCCACTGGGTCATACCTGCCAGAAGAAGGTGAAGTTAATTGAAGTTCATAAAAACTATTAATACAAGTCATGCCTGCCGTATTATTGGGACTTTGACATGTTATTGGGGACATCATTGAAATTGGATTTTTGATGCCTTACAGGAGAAAGAATACAAAGAAGCTCTTGAAGCTTTTAATGAAAAGAACAAGGAAAAAGTACAGTTAATCACCAGGTTAATGGAGGTCAGTCTCACTCTAAACATTCTTGTTGTGAATGCTTTGAATACTTAACTTTCCTTATTCTAATATTGTTATGCATAATATGATCAGCTTGTTAGTGAAAGTGAAAGATTGAGGATGAAGAAGCTGGAGGAGCTGAGTAAGAATATAGACTCCCTGCAATGATTTAGCCAACTGCTAATGACTCTGATTAGGCTTGTGTGGTATATTAAAGATGACATAGTATATTTTCATATGTATGGGTGTCTGGTGCGTGTGTAATTTTGTGGTGTTTATGTTTGTTTAACTAGCATTTGATGGGACATTAGCTAATTTAGGAGGGATATACCCTACAAACAGGCTTGTAACTAAATACTTGCATTTTGTTGTCATTTTTTTCCCCTTCAACTCACTTTTCTTTGCTTTGTTCTCCTTATTTAATTTATTGATGTAATTTGAATTTTGTTGCCACAAAAGATAGTTGTTCCAAGGTGTGTTTTGTTAGTAGTTATATGACATTATACACTTCCCATGGTGAAGTTGCGTAGGTAGCTCTCGAACCAGTATGATAATGGAATTGCAGACGACATTATTTATTGCTTTACGAATTACGACCCAATTATCCGTGTGATTTATCATGGGAAACACTTGCGATTTATGATGATTCAGAGGTTCTCATTAGTCATTTACACTTTATGAAGGTTTTTTTCTTTTCCATGATCCATTGTCTTCAAAATATGGGCCGAACATTTTCTGATTTGGAACATCAATTCCTAATCTCCAATTTTGCATTTCATGCAAGTCCTTATTTTCGTGCGTAGCTATGATAATATAAAGGGCCGAGCATGCGTAATGAAGTGGATAATTATTATACATTCTTTTTGGGATGTTGGGGGTGGTTGAACAATTATTAACATACAAAAAACAAAATTATAATTTTTTTTATTGTAAAATGTGATTTGGCAATGGGGTACATTCATCATCAATTCTGGGCACTGTATAGTGTTTTTGGCAGCTTATGATTTTGATATTCATGGAGGTTTCATGAGGATTGGGTACAGTCATAGTATAACTGTTAAAGCATGCCCAAATAATTGTGTTTTACCACAAATGAAAAGACCACGCGCACTGGCGCACTTGTCATGTACCTTGCTTGCTTTTTTGTCTTGTTAAGAGCATCCTAAGTAACTGAAGACGTGCTTTGTGGGTATGGGAATTCGTACAAATTATCTTCCTATCCGTAATCCTTGGCTATGGTGGCAGCTGAGCCTCACACTCGCACAGTGTCTTTGGTTACGGTAAAATTATATTAACCATGATAAGCAAATAACGTTCTAAAGGGCCCAAAACTTGAGGCAGAGGTTATAAGTAGCATGTGACAAATCAACGCCTTAGCCACTTGAAGAAATCGACAAACCAGGAGGAATAATAATGGTCCAACGAACCCAAAAGAAAGTATGGAAGTTGCTTTATTATGACTTGTAATTTGTAATCAAAATTAAATCTTGAGGATTCCAAAAAATGGAAAGAACGAGTTATTAATGGCACTTATTTTTCTCCCAATTCACTGCACCAGCAAGAGATAAGGATTGGACATTGTATTGTGATTAATGATGTAATTAAATTTGAAATGATTGATTTTGAAATGATTGTATCGCTAGCGTCCCGTTACATCTGTTAAGGCGTCAATCTGGTCATTTCCTCAAAGGTAGAATAGAAAGTCTACCGAACCGATTTTGAAACCTTAACACAACAATTTACAATCCGTTTAGTACGAAGCGTGAAGCATCAAGGTGGAAGATAGGGATTGCACTTTTTTGTTTGCTAGTGATTAAAACTTTGTCCCAATTAAACACAATGTTTGAACAAATTTGAATCGTGGAAGGTTTTATACAGTGAAAACACTATTTGCAAATAATTTAACTACGTCATAACCATTTATGGCAAACAACCTCACAAATACTCTGTTTAGATAACCACCCTCCATTTGGTTCTGTAAAAAGAATAAGAAGGGAAAAATAAAATGAGTCGTAAAGTAAATAAGAGGTGAAACAATTTTTTTCTTCTTAAAGTTAAAACTATATAGAAAATTATGAAATGAAATAAAAACATTTTTTTATATCGTTTGAAACACAGGAGTAAAAGAATTGTACGTAAATTTTTAGAGTGGGTCCTGATCCTAAAAGTTTCCTCGAACCTACAAAGAAACACTTTTAAAATTCTATTCGTCAATCGTTAGTTTGTTTATTTTACTAAAAATTTGAATATAAAAAATTAATATTTCTAATTATTTTGATAAGATAATTTCAGTAACTTCGTAAAAAACTAAAATTGCAACTACAGTTTAAAAAAAGTATTTGATATATGATATAACTAAACAAAAAACAATTTCTTCTTTACATAAATTCTCTGAATAAATAAAAAAAATTTATATACTACTTAAAAAAAAAAAAAAAAATCCTAAACAATCAATCTATGAATCAGAGAATAGACTTCATTCTATTTCAAAAAAATTAAACAAAGAAACCTTGTGTCCTTTCTTTCTATCCCACTTATTTCACATTTCCAATAAATTCAACCATAAAGTACATTTGTTCTCTATTTTAAGAACTAAATAAATGCACGTTTGACCTTTTTCTAAATATTTTTTAGTTTTCTTTGTCATGTTCTACTCAATTCGAAAGCGTGAAAGAAACCGAAAACAGCAAGTTCTTAAATTTTAACTGTCCTCTCCCTAACCTGTATAATTTTCGGCCCATTATTTGAGGACATGGGCTTTGGATATGATGTGGCATACCATTCTATAATGGACCTCGATTTGACAATTCCATGGCTTTTTACTTTTCACACGCACTTCCACCTCAACTCAAATTTTGTCATTACTACAGAGGATCACACATATTATTAATATGAGGAGCAACTACATCTTGAATCAAATTTTCATTTTCAATTAGAACATTTTGAATCTCAGCCTCATTTGGAACAATTGTTGAGATGCCAATTGTAGAAACAGGCAGTGACAAGGCAATAGTCTTAGGTAACAAAACATTAGTCTCTTTGAATATTTCAACATGATCAGTTACATCAAGCTCCAAGAACTTGACATTTGGAGACTCTATTATTTTTCTCTCTTTACCAGAACAGAAGAACTTGTATCATTTATCGCAATCCGGATATCCAATGAAAAAGCAACGACTTGTCTTGGGGTCTGTTTTTCTCTGCAAGGGATTATAAATTTTTACTTCAGCTAGACACCCCCATACTCGAAGATGATTCAAACATGGCTTTCTTCCTGTCCACAGTTCAAAGGGTGGTTTGGGAACAGATTTAATAGGAACTTTATTAAGGATATAAAGGGCTGTTTTTAAGGCTTCACCCCACAAAAATTCTAGCAAGTTACATTCATTCATCATACTTCTCATCATATCTTTAAGTGTTCTATTACGTCTTTCAACTACACCATTTTGTTCAGGACTCCCAAGCATGGTGTATTGTGGAACTATTCCACATTCTTGCAGGTATAAGGCAAACGGTCCCATATGTTGTCCTGTAATACCATACTTACCAAAATACTCTCCACCACGATCAGATCTTACAATTTTAATCATTTTTCCTAATTGTTTTTCTACTTCAGTCTTAAATATTTTAAAATTTTCAAGTGCTTCAGACTTTTCTTTAATAAAATAAAGATATCCATATCGGGAAAAATCATCAATAAATGTAATGAAACAAGTTTTACCACAAATTGTAAGAATTAGAGGCTCACTTATGTCAGTGTGAATGATCTCTAAGAGGTTTGTACTCCTAATTGCACCTTTCTTTTTCGTCTTAGTTTTTCTCCTAATGCAACTTACACAAGTTCTTAAATCATCAAAATTCAATGAGGGTAGTATATTTGTCTTTGTCAACCTTTCAACTCTTTCCTTAGAAATATGACCTAGACGTTTGTGCCACAACATTAAGGATTTTTTCTCAACCTTAGATCTTTTAGCAACACAATTTTCAACAACTAAAGATAAAGAAGTATCATCAGAAGCTAAAGACAATTTATATAAACCATCAACTAAAAGTCCATAACCAACAATTTGGGAGTTTAATGTCAAATTTATCTTTCTATCTCCAAAAATAAAATTAAAATCAAGTTCATCCAAACGAGAAACAGAAATCAAATTTCTCCTAAAAGAGGGTACATAAAATGTATTATTCAAAATCAACTCAAATCCACAACTTAAAACTAAACTGACATCTCTCACTTTCTCCATTAAGACTTTAAGATCATTTCCTACCCTGAACTTGTTTTCCCTCAAATTGGGCTCCCTCAGATTTTTGAACCCATGTAAAGACACAACAATATGAGTTGTGGAACCACTATCAATCCACCAAGAGTCTATAGGAACATCAACTAGATTAGATTCATAACAGATAAGAGCTAGACAATTACCTTCAGATTTGTTATTATTCTTTAGCCAAGCCTTGAACTTTTTACAATCAAATTTCTTATGTCCTTTTTTTTACACCAAAAACACCAAATATTTTTCTTAAAGACTGTTGGTTTAGGTCCTCCTACATTGTGGCATTGACTCTTACTTGGTTTTCCTGAACCTCGATATTGATGAGAAGTATTAGAAGACTTATTTGCATTTTTCCAATTTCCCTTGCCAAAAGTGGATTTACTATGGACAGATAAAATGGCTATGTCATTCTTTTCTTTCTTAAGTTTCTCTTTCTTAGCAACACACTTGGTAATGAGGTTGTTCACACTCCAATTTGCACCAATAGTACTATGGGCAGTTTTGATTTGGGTAAAATCAGCAGGTAGACAATTTAAGGCATGTTCAACAATAAATTTTTTATTAAGGTCAATTTGGTGAGATTTCAGCTTGGTTTGAATGTGAACCATCTTCATAATTAACTCCCTTACTCCCCCAAAATTGATATTCTAAATTTATGTAATTAGATCCCATTAAATTTGTGCTTATATTTGGTATCAAAGCCTGAATTACATGATTTGGAATTTAGATATGACAATGTTGGGGGAGTAAGGGAGTTCATTATGAAGATGGTTCACATTCAAACCAAGCTGAAATCTCACCAAATTGACCTTAATGAAAAATTTATTGTTGAACATGCCTTAAATTGCCTACCTGCTGATTTTACTCAAATCAAAACTGCCCATAATACCATTGCTGTAAATTAGAGTGTGAACAACCTCATTACCAAGTGTGTTGTTAAGAAAGAGAAACTTAAGAAAGAAAAGAGTGACATAGCCCTTTTATCTGTCCATAGTAAACCCACTTCTGGCAAGGGAAATTGGAAAAATGTAAATAAGTTTTCTAATACTTCTCATCAATATTGAGGTTCAGGAAAACTAAGTAAGAGTCAATGCCACAATGTAGGAGGACCTAAACCAACAGTCTTTAAGAAGAATATTTGGTGTTTTTGGTGTAAAAAGAAAGAACATAAGAAATTTGATTGTGAAAAGTTCAAGACTTGACTAAAGAATAATAACATATCTGATGGTAATTGTCTAGCTCTTGTCTGTTATGAATCTAATCTAGTTGATGTTCCAGACTCTTGGTGGATTGATAGTGGTTCCACAACTCATATTGCTGTGTCTTTAGAGGGGTTTAAAAATCTGAGGAAGCCCAATTTGAGGGAAAACAAGCTCAGGGTAGGAAATGATCTTGAAGTCTTAGTGGAGAAAGTGGGAGATGTCAGTTTATTTTAAGTTGTGGATTTGAGTTGATTTTGAATAATACATTTTATGTACTCTCTTTTAGGAGAAATTTGATTTCTGTTTCTCGTTTGGATGAACTTAGTTTTAATTTTATTTTTGGAGATAGAAAGATATCAGTCAAATCCTGGAAGTGATCACTGGATAGCTGCTAAGAAAGTAATGAGATACTTGAAGAAGATAAAAAAGTATATGCTTGTATATAACAGAGTAGACAACCTTGAGATTGTGGGATACACAAATTCAGATCTTGACGGGTGCCCTCATGACAGAAAATCGACTTCAGGATATCTTTTATGATGGCTAGAGGTGCAATATCTTGGAGGAGTAAGAAACAAACTCTCGTTGCCTCTTCTACCATGCAGGTAGCATTCATTGCTTGCTATGAAGCTGCTACTCATGCTATTTGGTTGAGAAATCTAGTAACAGGACTTCGTATTGTGGATACCATTGTTGCACTAGTAAAGATTTTTTGTGACAACAGAGCTGCAGTATTTTATACAAAGAATAACAAGATTTCTAGTGGATCTAAGCATTTGGAGTTGAAGTACTTGACTATCAGAGATCTTGTGAAGGATGGTTCCATTGTAATAGAGCACATTGACACATATTCCATGTTAACTGACCCCTTGACCAAGGGACTTAGGCCTATTATTTTCAAAAGACATGTTGAAAAAATGGACATTGTGAGTTCTTTTGATGTGTTTGGTTAAGTGGGAGTTTTTTTTTTAGTTTTATGTCATTTTACGTTTATTGAATTCTTGTTTTAGACTTTCGTAAACGTTGTGTTGATGACATTTCACATTTGATTTGATGAATGAGTAATGAGATTTTATATATATATATATAAAATGTGAATTATTAAGCTCGGCGTCGTTGGGACCACTATACCGGTGGTTGATGCTAG